AACTGCAAGTCGCTTCTGGTGTGAGAGAATTGGCCGTCTGCAAGGACGTTGCCCAGGGGATGCCCAGATGATTTGATGTTTTTATCATCCTTTGTGGGAGGCTTCTCTCATGTCCCCGCATGAGGAGCTGGAGCTGATAGAGGGAGCTCATCCGCCTCTCCCTGGATTCTCAGGAGTCTCAGCAAGAGAAGATAAGCAGATGTGAAGAGGCTTTCGTTTTGACTAGTTCCTGAATTGTAGCTCGTTGTAGTAAGACGTGTCTGTTGAATGTTCTTAGTAAACTTAGTTTCTTTTGTAACTCAAAGCCTGCAGAGTCCTTATTTTGCAACTCAGTGTCTTCTGATCTAGCATTCCTTCTGCTGGGCATTGTCTGACTCTGACTCTGACAGATCTGGCACAGGGGTTTAACCCACTGCACCACCAGGGGCTCCATCCCATATGCTAACCAGTATATAACACCCCCCACATACACATTTGTCCAAGCACCCAGAGCAGGAACACAGGGTTAATCTCCTTACTCCTTCGGGTGGTTGACACAATCACCTAGTGTCCACTCTTCCTGGTCAACAATGAACTCTTGCACCTAACAGTGAATTAATCTCCAGCCAGTCCAAAAGGTCACTGTGCTTTGGCTCTCCCTGAGAACCCATTAAGATGTTTCAGCACCCATTGTTCCCCTAGCACAGACCACTTGTCAGATCCCAACTGAAAGGATTGAACCCATTAAAGACCATCAACCCCGAACTCTACCAGCATGTCTTTCCCCAGCACCCAAAGAAACAAACCTATTTTAAATATAGCCACAAGTTTCAAACTGAGCAATGAATTCCCACCAGAGAAGGAAACCTATCACCACCGGCAGCAAATGAGACATCTCCACCAACAAGCTTGCAATTTTCACCAGTCAGCACCCAAAATTTGAATAGCAGTCAAGAGACTATAAATGATTCTGTATGAATCCATTGCTTTATGTCTGATTTGTGAGTGCATTTTTTCCAACATCCACTTTTGGTCAAAGTGAATAAAACCTCTGATCCTTGTCTTCAACCCGTTCATGTCCAATTTGATCCTTCGGAGTCTAAGCACACCGGGACCCTGAACCCTCGAATCTTGAGGAGCTGAAATCAAATATCGGGACTGACCTTCCATATCTAAGACAAACAGGTGACATGTAATCTAGCTTCAGATGTTTTGTTTTCAATTTAGCCCCCTGCATGTATTCTCTTACATTTCCAAAGTTCAGGAAAACTTACTAAAAGAGGATGTTCCTATTTAGTTTTTTTCCTATTTGCTTCAGGGTACAGCATGTGCTTTTAATCTCTGAACACATTCTGTTCTACAAAAGCTTTTCTGCTCGCAATAGAAGCTTGAAATGAAAGCATTTTGCTCTTTCGTTCTCTCTTTTCCAGGAAGGCAATTACTATTATTTCTTTCCTCCACCCCACTTCTCTAATTCCACTTTCTGCGCCCTCCCTTTTCTCTCTCATTCACATAGCTTTTTCAACAGCAAAGAGATTGATTTCCCTCTCTATGGAACATAACTGTGTTGTCAATGGACAGGACTGGCCTTTTGCATTTTTGTGAGTTTAATGTAGTGCTGCCAAGATTGCATCTGCATTGGAGAATGAAAGCAGTTTGGCATCATTTAACTGCCCTGACTGAATGCTATTTTATTTATTGTATCAGAAACGAACCGATAGTACAGCTGTAATGTTTGGAGGACATGAGAGAAGTCTCCCCACAGGACTGCAACACATCTGGACATCCCCTGGGCAATATCTTTGTAGACGGCTGATTCTCTCACACCAGACGTGACCAGAAGCAACTTGCAACACGCAAACTAAATGCTATGAAATCCTGAGAGTTGTGGTTTGGTGATACCCAAGCATTATTTGGCAGAGAAGGCTGATGACCTTGTAAAAGTTCATTATTCCATAGCATTAAGCCATTCCATAGCATTAGTGGTATCAAACTGCGTTCATTCTATAGCAGGCAAGGGCAATCTTTCTAACTTGGAGGCCACATGCTGGCACTCCCTGCTAGGAGGAGGAAGGAAAGAGAGAAGGAAGGATGAAAGTAAGGAAAGGACGGATGGAAGAAGAAAGAGAGAGAGAGAGGAAAGGAGGGAGGAAAGAGAGAAGGAAGGAAAGGCAAAAGGGAAGGAAGAATGAAAGGGTGGAAGGGAAGGATGGAAAGAAAGAAGGAAGGAAGGAAGGAAGGAAGGAAGGAAGGAAGGAAGGAAGGACGGAAGGAAGGAGGGGAAAGAGAGAATAATAAATGAAAAGAGAAGGAAGGAAAGACAAAGGAGAAGGAAGAAAAGAGAAAGAGGGAGGGAGAGAAGGAGGGAGGAGAATGGGAAGGAAGGAAAGACAAAAGGTAAGTAAGGGTGGAAGGGAAGGGAGGGAGGAAGAGAAGGGTAGAAGGAAGGAAGGGAAGGATAAAGGAAAGAGAGAAGGAAGGAAAGACAAAAGGGAAGGAAGAAAGAGAAAGAGGGAGAGAGGGAAGGAGGGAGGAAAATGGGAAGGAAGGAAAGACAAAAGGTAAGGAAGGGTGGGTGGAAGGAAGGGAGGAAGAGAAGGGTAGAAGGAAGGAAGGGGAGGATAAAGGAAAGAGAGAAGGAAGGAAAGACAAAAGGGAAGGAAGGAAGGAGAAAGTGGGAGAGAGGGAAGAAAAAGGGGGAAATGGAAGGAGAAAGAGGGAGGGAAGAAGGAAGGAAACCCTCTTCGACCAGAGCACCTGGTGAACCAACCTGGACACAGCCTATTATTTGAGAACACAGAAATGGTGGACCATTCTCACAACCACCATGTCAGACTAGACAGAGAAGCCATTGAAATCCACAAGCATGTGGACAATTTCAACAGAAAGGAGGAAACCATGAAGATGAACAAAATCTGGCTACCAGTATTAAAAAAATCTCTAAAATTACAACAGCACAACAGCAGAGGGAAAACAATCAGGGACATCTAATCACCTCTCAACAAAAGATTGCTCCAGGCACTTCCAGGCTATCAAATGCTAATCAAGGTGGTCAGTTGAAACATTCACACCTAGCTCCAACAGACAAGAGTTCTTTCCACAGATATATAAACCCCTTTTTCCTAGTTCCAACAGACCTCACTACCTCTGAGGATGCTTGCCATAGATGCAGGCGAAACGTCAGGAGAGAATGCCTCTAGAACATGGCCATATAGCCCGAAAAAACCTACAACAACCCAAGGAAGAAACTGTTTGCAACAGTTGATACATAGAGGGAAATAGATTTGCATTATTTGTTGTTCTTTTATAAAAGTTTGTTTATGTGTGCGATCTAATTCATATTATTTTTAGTTCTTTATTCTCCTTGTATTTTCCCCGGTTGCTTTCTCTTTTTGTGTGTGAATGTCTTGCAACTTTAGTATCTCTTGTTGTCCTTTTTTGTATCTTTTCTTGTACTTTGCTATATCTGGATCTAAATCTTAGGAAAGCTTAGGCTATCAATATCTTTAAAGGGTTCCTTGAGTGCATCTACACATTGTAGAATTAATGCACTTCGATACTACTTTTTAAATGCCAGGGCTTAATGCTATATAATCCTGGGATTTGTAGTTTGGCACTTTTAGTGCCTTGCAGAACTACAACTCTCAATTTCCCGTAGCATTGAGCCATGGTAGTTCATAGAATCATAGATTTGGAAGAGACCTCATGGGCCATCCAGTCCAACCCCATTCTGCCAAGAAGCAGGAAAATCGCATTCAAAGTACCCCCGACAGATGACCATCCAGCCTCTGTTTAAAAGCCTCCAGAAGGAGCCTCCACACACTCCAGGGCAGAGAGTTCCACTGCTAATCAAGGTGCTCAGTTGAAACATTCACACCTAGTTCTTGTGGGTTTTTTCGGGCTATATGGCCATGTTCTAGAGGCATTTCTCCTGACGTTTCGCCTGCATCTATGGCAGGCATCCTCAGGTGAGGTCTGCTGGAGCTGGGAAAAGGGTTTATATATCTGTGGAATGACCAGGGTGAGACAAAGGACTTTTGTCAATTGGGCTAGGTATGAATATTTCAACTGACCTAATGTTCAGACGGAATCTCCCTTTTTGTAGTTTGAAGCCGCATCCTAGTCTCTAAGGCAGCAGAAAACAAGCTTGCTCCCTCTTCGCTATGACTTCCTCTCACATATTTATACACGGCCCTCATCATGTCTCCTCTCAGCCTTCTCTTCTTCAGGCTAAACATGCCCAGCTCTTTAAGCCGCTCCTCATAGGGCTTGTTCTCTAGACCCTTGATCATTTTAGTCGCCCTCCTCTGGACACATTCCAGCTTGTCAACATCTCCCTTCAGTTGTGGTGCCAGAGAATTCCACTGCTGAACAGCTCTGTTAAAGCTGTCTCAAACTGCATTAATCCTACAGTGTAGATACACCTCTTGGATACTGCACGTTGAAATTAGAATAACTAAAAAAAATGTATTGTCGAAGGCTTTCATGGCTGGAATCCATGGGTTGTTGTTTTTTCGGGCTATAAGGCCATGTTCTAGAGGCATTTCTCCTGACGTTTCGCCTGCATCTATGGCAAGCATCCTCAGAGGTAGTGAGGTCTGTTGGAATTAGGACAATGGGTTTATATATCTGTGGAATGGCTGGGTGGGGCAAAGAGCTTTTCTCTGCTGGAGCTAGGTGTGAATGTTTCAGCTGATCACCTTGATTTGCATTCAATGGCTTGGAAGCGCCTGGGGGGAATCTTTTGTTGAGGGTGATTTCATGTGCCTGTTTGTTTCCCCTCTGTTGTTTTTCTGCTGTAATTTTTGAGTTTTTTAGGATATGGCCTCTCTTCCCTTGCTATTTAAGTGCTTCGAGGCATATGCTTTATTTAAAAAAAGAAAGAAATCACAGAGAGGGGAAAACAAATGGGAAAAGGCTCTCTGCTGGGTCTAGAACTACAGGTCCCACAATGCACTTCGCACTTCCGCATAGACCTCTCTTTTCTGATTGGCTGAGCGTTTCCATCGCTTGTCATGTGCTGGGAAGTGGAGAAAGAAGCAGCCAGGTTTTGCACTATGGCTCAAGTTGCAAGAGCTCATGCGTGGGATTCTTCTTTCTGAGGCTGACCACGAAGGTAAAGTGAATTGGAGGGATCAGAAGCAAGGTCTGCAAAAGACATCCTGGGTGAGTTGGAGGACAGAGACATTTGTGCAAGGTTGCAGTTCGAATCTGTGCAAAAAGCAGCTCTGGAAGCTAAAGCAGAGTATTGGGACTTTCCCTTGCTCTGATTAATACTATTACAAGTTGAGTATCCTTTGCTACAAAACCCTAAATTGCAAATGTCATTGTATGGGATAGTAACATTCCACACTGCCATGTCATGCAGTTTCAAGCTGCATTATATGGTCAGTGTAGACTCCTATGATGCAGTTCAGTGCAATAAAACTTGTATAATACTTGTATAATAGGAGGAGTGGAGTGAGCTCCCGCTGTTAGCCCCAGCTTCTGCCAACCTAGCAGTTCAAAAACATGCAAATGTGAGTAGATCAATAGGTACCGCTCCGGAGGGAAGGTAACGGTGCTCCATGCAGTCCTGCCGGCCACATGACCTTGGAGGTTGTTTTTTTTTCTTGTCCTGTCAGAAGCGACTTGAGAAACTGCAAGTCGCTTCTGGTGTGAGAGAATTGGCCGTCCTGCAAGGACGTTGCCCAGGGGACGCCTGGATGATTTAATGTTTTTATCATCCTTGTGGGAGGCTTCCCTCATGTCCCCGCATGAGGAGCTGGAGCTGATAGAGGGAGCTCATCCGCCTCTCCCCGGATTCGAACCTGCGACCTGTCGGTCTTCAGTCCTGCCGGCACAGGGGTTTAACCCACTGCGCCACTGGGGGCTCTTTGGGGAGTGGGGTGAGTTCCTGCTGTTAGCCCCAGCTTCTGCCAACCTAGCAGTTCAAAAACATGCAAATGTGAGTAGATCAATCGGTACAGCTCTGGCGGGAAGGTAATGGCACTCCATGACCTTGGAGGTGTCTAAGGACAACGCCAGCTCTTCGGCTTAAGAAATGTAGATGAGCACCAACACCCAGAGTTGAACACGACTAGACTTAATGTCAGTGGAAAAGTTTTATCTTTACCTAAATACACTTCAATGCAGCATAGATTTGGCCTGAGATATTGGCTCCTTTGGTTTCTGATGGTCTAATATATCTGCTAACTTTGTCTGCATCTGCACTGTAGAGTTGATGGAATTCAATACCACCCGAACTCCAGCGGCCCAATGCTATGGGATCCTGGGAGTTGTAGTTTTATGAAGCCTTTAGCATTCTCTGCCCAAGTGTGTGAGTGCCTCACCAAATTACAATTCTCAGGATTTTCTAGCACAGAGCCATAACAGTTAAGTGGTAGTAAAGCTTAGATAAAGTTTTTTCTCTGGCATTAAGCTGAGTCGTGTCCAACTCTGGGGGTTGGTGCTCATCTCCATTTCTAAGCCGAAGAGCTGGCGTTGTCCATAGACACCTCCATGATCATGTGGCCAGCATGACTGCAAGGAGCGCCGTTAGCTTACCAGTGGAGTGTTACCTATTTGATCCACTCAGATTTGCATGTTTTCGAACTGCTAGGTTGGCAGAAGCTGGGTCTAACAGCAGGAGCTCACACTGCTCCCTGGATTCCTATCTGCGATCTTTTGGTCAGCAAGTTCAGCAGCTCAGCGCTTTATCCCACCGGGGTATCAAAGTGGTATCAAACTGCTTTTATTTATTTATCGTATCAGAAGCAAACCAAGGGTACAGTTGTAATGTATTTAAAAACACACAAAGTTTTAAAAACTTGGCATAATACTAAATGTCCTTTGGACATTTAATCAACTACCAAGCTTGCAAACTTTGTGTTTTGTTTGTTAAAAATGCAATGCAACTGTTTGGTTTGCTCTTGACACGATAAATAAATAAATAAATCCACAGATTTTGGTATCCAAAGGGTCTCTTGGAATCAAACTCCTGAGGGCCCACTGTACATCCATATTTGGATATCACCAATTTAACTTCCACTTTCTAGATTCTTGGCTTTGTCTCTCCTTGCAGGATGTGCAGTTTGGAGTAAAGCTTTGACTCAAGATGTTTGCAGCACAGTGCATGCGCCTGGTGCTTCGTCGCTGTTCCTCTGCTCCACGTCCTAAGCCTGCTGTGGCTCACAAGTTACTCCGTGTCCAGGAAGCTCTGGAAGTCCAGAACCCAACTGGGAATGACATTAAAGTCCAGGTGAGTCCATCAAACACTGGAAGGAGTGTTCCAGGGTCCTGATCTACTCAGTTTCCAGACCAGCTCAGGTGTGGTGAAGCTTTAAAATGAAACATAGAGTGCATCTATATTGTAGTAATACATTTGACTGCTACAGAATCATGGGAGTTGTAGATTTAAAACTGATTTGCCTTTGTGTATTTTTGTTTCATTGTGTTTCAAAGGCATTGAGTGTTTGCCTGTGTCTGTATATATGCTGCAATCCACTCTAAGTCCCCTTGTGGAGATAGGGCGGAATACAAATCATATGTTGTTGTTGTTGCTGTTATTCTATGCCAAAGTGTGTTGGTGCCTCATTAAACTACAATTTCCAGGATTCCATATCACTAAACCATGGCAATTCATGCACTGCCTCACTCAACTACAGTTCCTGGTGATAGTATGATAGCTGGGACCCAATGCTGCTAGCGTTATGCTGATTACGCAAAAGCAGTTGTGAATCAGGGAAGGGAACACGTGTTCAACCACATGGTCGAGAGAAGGGGCGGAGTGAGAGCAGACAAAGTGAGAGATGCAGGCACGACAAAGTTGGGAAGTTAGTTTGTAGTTGATTTAGAAGGAAGGATAGAGAGGAGGGGAGAAATACGAGGAGTTGTGTAAAATGAATTTAATCCAGCTTATAGAGCGCATTCGGACAACGGAACTGGCCATGATTTTTTGCAGGTACGTAGAATTATTGCACAACGCCGTCCAGTTTGTGTACAGCCTGGATGTGGGCTGGCATCAACATGGAAGCATTTAATAATCTTTTGGGTCAGATTGCTGATTTCTATACCGTCTAAGGTCTTCCCAAACAGTTTCCCAAACTGTTGTTTATCATTTATCATTAAAGAACTGTTACATTCCTTCACTGTTATCTGTGTCCCGCCTGGGTTACATTACTTCAGTGGTATCCTGCCGCGACTCCGTTCCGCAATCAGTGTTCCTGAAGCAGCGTAATGCTAGCAGCACTGGATCCCAGCTATCATACTATCACTCAGTTCCCAGGATTTCATTGCATCAAACCATCAAAGTGATTTTTTAAAAATTTGTCATGTCAGGGCAACCAGTCAATTATATTACATTTCTAACAGAACAAAGCAAACAAACAGACAAGATACAAAATTTGTGAGTTTGGTAGTTGATTAAATGTCCTTTGACCAGTATCTGGCCACTTGGAGTGCCTTTGGTGTTGCCGCAAGAAGGTCCTCCATTGTGCATGTGGCAGGGCTCAGGGTGCATTGCAGCAGGTGGTCAGTGGTTTGCTCTTCTCCACACTCGCATGTCGTGGATTCCACTTTGTGGCCCTATTTCTGCAGGTTGGCTCTGCATCTCGTGGTGCCAGAGCACAGTCTGTTCAGCGCCTTCCAAGTCGCCCAGTCCTCTGTGTGCCCAGTGGGGAGTCTCTCATTTGGTATCAGCCATTGGTTGAGGTTCTGGGTTTGAGCCTGCCACTTTTGGACTCTTGCTTGCTGAGGTGTTCCAGCGAGTGTCTCTGTAGATCTTAGAAAACTATTTCTAGATTTAAGTCGTTGACGTGCTGGCTGATACCCAAACAGGGGATGAGCTGGAGATGTCTCTGCCTTGGTCCTTTCACTATTGGCTGCTACTTCCCGGCGGATGTCAGGTGGTGCAATACCGGCTAAGCAGTGTAATTTCTCCAGTGGTGTAGGGCGCAGACACCCCGTGATAATGCGGCATGTCTCATTAAGAGCCACATCCACTGTTTTAGTGTGGTGAGATGTCTTCCACACTGGGCATGCATACTCAGCAGCAGAGTAGCATAGCGCAAGGGCAGATGTCTTCACTGTATCTGGTTGTGATCCCCAGGTTGTGCCAGTCAGCTTCGTATGATATTGTTTCTAGCACCCACTTTTTGTTTGATGGTCAGACCAGCATCAAAGTGATGTCAAGCTACATTAATTCTATAATGTAGATAAGGTGTATTCAAACTGTGGCCCAACAGCTGTTTGGGCCTCTAACTCCCAGAATTCTTAATCTTTAAACAAACTGATCTTCTTGCAAACAAACCAGTTAAATGTGGGCTAGGCAATGCTACTATTAGGTGGATTTCTAATTGGTTAAGTGACCAAACTCAAAGGTCCTTCTCTCCAATGGTTCCTCGTCATCCTGGAAAGAAGTGACTAGTGGAGTACCATGTTCTAGAGAGTGGACCCTGTTCTGTTCAACATCCTTATTAATGACTTGGATGAAGGCTTAGAGGGCAGGCTGATCAAGTTTGCAAATGAGACCAAATTAGGAGGGATAGCTAATACTCCAGAGGACAGAATCAGAATTCAAGATGACCTTAACACATTAGAGAACTGGGCCAAAACTATCAAAATGAAGTTCAACAAGGACAAATGTAAGATACTCCCCTTAGGCAGAGAAAATGAAATTCAAAGATACAGAATGGGAGATACCTGGCTCAACAACAGTCCATGTGAAAAAGACCTTGGAGTCTCAGTGGATAACAAGTTGAACACGAGACAACAATGTGATCCTGCAGCTAAAAAAGCCAATGGGATTTTGGGCTGCATCAAACAATAATAGTAATAATATCATTTGAAAATACATCACACATTCCTACACATGGGAAGTGTTCGACTTGTGATTTTGTGATACGAAATCCAGCATATGATCTCGTTTGCTGTGACATACTGTGCTTTTGTGTCAGTAAAATAATAATACTTTATTTATATACTGCCCTATCTTCCCAAGAGGACTCAGGGCAGTTTCCAACATAGGGTAAAACTTTCAAAAGGAGTTTAGTGTCTAAATTGAGGGAAGCCATGGTGCCTCTGTATTTTGCTTTGGTTTACCTGGGATACTGTGTCCAATTCTGGGCCCCACAGTTCAAAAGCAATTTTGACAAGCTGGAAGGTGTCCAGAGGAGGGCAACTAAAACAATCGAAGGTCTGGAGTCTATGAATCCCTATGAGGAGCATCTTAAAGAACTGTTTACCCTGCAGAGGAGAAGGTTTAGGGGAGACATGAGAGGAGACATGTATAAATATGTGAAAGGGTGTCAAAAGGAAGAGGGAGTGGGCTTATTCTCCAATGTGATTCTGTGGTCAGTTTCCAATGGAAGTCAACCATAGCGCCATGGTGGAAGACCTAGAACTTCCTAGAGACGTGTTCTTTCAGGTTAGAAATATAGTAACTTTTTTCTTTTCACTTTCATGGTGATCTAGTGCCCCTAACACTCAGTGAATATGGAGGGGTGACTGTAGCATGTCCAATCCCTGGCTTTCTGCTACAGGATTGTATCTCAGCCCCTCTTCAATGTAGTCATTTCTCTCTTCCAGGGCTGGGTGCGTTCTGTCCGGTCCCAGAAAGAAATCCTGTTTGTGCACATCAATGACGGCTCCTCTTTGGAAAGTCTCCAAGTGGTTGCAAACCCAAGGCTGGAATCCAGGTGGGTAAATCATATTAAAGTGAAGTTTGGCTATACAAGATTTGGGCAGTCTTTTTCACTTTTCTTTGTGGGTCTTATATGTGGAAGTGGGTCAAGGCAATCAGATGAGAAATTAGTCTTGGGCAAAGACACAAATCCAAAGTTGCAAAATACAGTTACTCTGTGATTTATGTACTACTGCTCATAGTGGATTTGGGAATCCATTGTCTTTTAAATTAGTCTTGGGCCCCTTCTACACTGCCATATAATCCACATTATCTGCTTTGAACAGGATTATTTGAGTCTACATTGCCAGGTAATCCAGTTTAAAGCAGATAATCTGGGTTTTATATAGCAGTGTAGAGGGGGGCTTGATTAGTAGTTAGTAGAGCTGTGGCTAGTGTTACACATTTCTCCTGGACTGACTCAAAATATATTTTTATTTATACACACATGTGTACTTGTTTATGAATTAGCACAACTATGCAACCTTATGTTGGTGGTGGTGTTGTTATATTTAGTTATACCTTCTTTTTCTCTCTTGACCAAGACCCAAAGCAGCCCACAGCATTAAAAAAATACATTTTGAAACCTACAACTTTTAAATATTAAAATAGGATTAAACCTGCTGGGCAAAGTGGAAGGTAAAAGGTAGAGCGGCCGACCAAGAGCAAGATGGATAGATGGCATCCTTGAAGTGACTGGATTGACCTTGAAGGAACTGGGGGTGGTGACGGCCGACAGGGAGCTCTGGCGTGGGCTGGTCCATGAGGTCACGAAGTCGGAGACGACTGAACGAATGAACAACAACAACAACAAGGATTAAACCTCCAATTCTTGGTGGTATGGGGAGACCAAGCCACCTTGTCTGTCTCCTGAGGAATCTGTATAATGACCAAGTAGCAACAGTAAGAACAGACCATGGAACAACAGACTGGTTCAAGATTGGGAAAGGCATACAGTAGGGCTGTATACTCTCTCCCTATTCAACTTGCATGTAGAAAACATCATGCGACGTGCAGAGCTTGATGAATCCAAGGCTGGAGTTAAAATTGCTGGAAGAAATACGAACAAGCTTAGGTATGAAGATGATAGCACTTTGAGGGGTGAAAGCGAGGAGGAGCTGAGGAGCCTTCTAACCAAGGTGAAAGAAGAAAGTACAAAAGCTGGGTTTCAGTTAAACATTTAAAAATATCCAAGATGATGGCAACCAGACTGAATGATAACTGGCAAATAGAGGGAGAAAACATGGAGGCAGCAACCAACTTTGTATTTCTAGGTGCAAATATGAGTGCAGAAGCAGACTGCAGCCAGGAAATTGGAAGATGATTACTTTTTGGGAGGAGAACAATGACCAATCTCAATGCAATAGTGAGGAGTAGAGACATCACACTAGCAACCAAGAACTGCATAGTTAAAGCAATGGTATTCCTCGTAGTAACCTATGGATGTGAGAGCTGGACCATAGGGAAGGCTGAGCGAAGGAAGATAGATGTTTTTGAACTGTGGTGTTGGAGGAAAATTCTGAGAGTGCCTTGGACCGGGAGAAGATCAAACCAGTCCATACTCCAGGAAATAAAGTTTGACTGCTCACTGGAGGGAAGGAGATTAGAGACAAAGATGAAGTCCTTTGACCACATCATGAGAAGACAGGAAAGCTTGGAGAAGACAATGATGCTTAGGAAAATAGAAGGAAAAAGGAAGAAGGGCCGACCAAGAGCAAGATGGATGGAGGTTATCCTTGAAGTGACTGGCTTGACCTTGAATGAATTGGTGGTGGCAATGGCCAACAGGGAGTTGTGGCATCCATGAGATCACAAAGAGTTGGAAACGACTGAATGAAGAAACTAGGAATTTAAGATAATCTGGGGAGGCCCTGCTCTCAGTCCCGCTTTCTTTGCAGGCGTGTCTGGTGGGGACGAGAGACGGGGCCTTCTCAGTGGTGGCCCCTTGGCTATGGAACTCACTCCCTAGGGATATTAGATCGGCCCTCTCCATCCTGACTTTCCAAAAATAGTAAAAACCTGGCTCTTCAAACAAGCTTTTGCGAATGCAGCATAGTAGATATAAATGCAGCATAGTAGATATAAATATGTGAGAGGAAGCCACAGGAAGGAGAGAGCACGCTTGTTTTCTGCTTCCCTGGAGACTAGGACGCAATGGAGCAATGGCTTCAAACTACAAGAGAGGAGATTCCATCTGAACATGAGGAAGAACTTCCTGACTGTGAGAGCCATTCAGCAGTGGAACTCTCTGCCCCGGAGTGTGGTGGAGGCTCCTTCTTTGGAAGCTTTTAAACAGAGGCTGGATGGCCATCTGTCAGGGGTGATTTGAATGCAATATTCCTGCTTCTTGGCAGAATGGGGTTGGACTGGATGGCCCATGAGGTCTCTTCCAACTCTTTGATTCTATGATTCTATAAACATGGAACTATGAAAGAGTGAACATGGAATGGCTAGACAATGCTACTGGAAAAATGAATTTAACAGGAAGACACTGGTGATTATATGTTTTTAATGGGTTTTTTGTGTGGATTTTTATAATGTTGTGCTAATTGTTTTTAATTGTATTTTATGACTATCGTGGCATCAAATTGCTGCCAATTTGTAAGCCACCTTGAGTTGCCTTCGGGCTGAGAAAGGCAAAAAATTAATATAATAATAATAATAATCTTTATTTATACCCTGCCACCATCTCCCCAACGGGGACTCGGAGCAGCTTACAATATAAAAATACAAATTGCAGTAAAACAATCAACAAACCTCCAGTTATTAACACAAGCCAGTTATAATCAAATAAAAACAAATTAAAACTATTGAAGTGATTACAGCCCCCCCCCCCTCCGGCTCATTCTTTAAAACTTTCTCCCAATATAGGATTCAAGGGAGCGTATGTACAACTCTTTAAAAACACAAGATTGTACTCCCTGGATCAGCAGAAAACAAGTTCATTCCATTTCTATATGCTAAGTTCTTCCTATTATTAAGAGAATATATTAGAAATATACATTATAATTGCATATAAAGTAATGTGTTTATCTCTCTGGTGATGGGTAAGGTTCAAGTGTTGAATGTGATCATAATAAATAATAGGGTTGTTTCATATTCCAGGGAGCTGACTTTTGGAAGTTCGGTCGAAGTGCAAGGGAAGTTGATCAAAAGTCCTCACAAAAGGCAGAATGTGGAGCTGGCAGCAGAAAGCATTCGGGTCGTGGGATCTTGTGATGGTCTGGTAAGGACAAGGTGTCTTCCTACATGATAAATTGGGGGGTTGGACTGGATGGCCCGTGGGGTCTTTTCCAACTCCATCATTCTGTCATTCTGTGTGGGAAAATTTCACTGAATTCAGAGTAATTTACTTTTTGAGTAAACATAGGCTGTATTTATAGTGATTTCATTATTTTAAGAGTTTCTAAGAGTTTCTAAGAGTTTCTGAAGTGACTTGCAAGTTTAATTGTTTTAATTATTATTATTTATTTACAGTATTTATATTCCGCCCTTCTCACCCCACAGAGGACTCACGGCAGATCACAATGCACATATACATGGCAAACATTCAATGCTATAGACACACAACACATATAGTCAGAGACACAGAGGCTATTTAACTTCCAGCTTCATGAGGGTATGCTTTGAATTCCAGCCATCGGGGGAGCTGTCGCTTCACCATCCATTTGTGACACTGATGGAGTACTTCCTCATTCTTTTGCACACTGCTGGAGAGTTTTATGATGTCATAAATTAGTTAAATTGGAGTCCCCAAATAAGCGGTACCTAAATTTCCTACTTGACAGATGCAATTGTCTTTTGGGCTGCAAAGGTCAACAGCAAGCTAGACAAATGGTCAGGAGCTTACTCTGACTCATGACCTTTTGGGCAGTAGTGATTCCCAACCAGCTGCGCCACAACCTGGTTTAATATGTATATGTTATAGATATTAAATTGCATTGTTTTTCTTAATATTGTGATATGCTGTGGGTCCCAAGCAAGAGATAAATAAGTGATAGTAGTAGTAGTAGTCATCATTGTCATCACCATCTTTTTTCTTGCCCTGCTTTTCCTATCTAGGTATTCCCTCTGAAGTACAAAACACACCAGTCTTTCGAATACCTCCGTCAGTTCCCTCATTTCCGGTGCAGAAGTAATTCTCTAAGTGCCCTTCTGAGGATACGCAGCGAAGCTACGGGAGCCATCAACTCCTATTTCAAGGTAACTCAATAGAATCTTAGAGTTGGAAGAGACCCCAAGAGCCATGCAGTCCAATCCCCTTCTGCCAGGCAGGACAACACAATCCAAACCCTCCCGGCAGATGGCCATCCAGCCTCTGCTTAAAAACTTCAATAGGAGACTCCTTCCTTATGGTCCAGCTCTCACATCCGTAGGTTACTACAAGGAATACCATTGTTTTCACTATGCAGATCTTCATTGCCAGGATGATGTCTCTACTCTTCACTATTTTATCAAGATTGGTCATTGCTCTCCTTCCAAGAAGGAAACGTCATCTGATTTCCTGGCTGCAGTCTGCGTCTGCAGTCATCTTTGCACCTAGAAATACAAAGTCTGTCACGGCCTCCACGTTTTCTCCCTCTATTTGCCCGTTATCAATCAGTCTGGTTGCCATCATCTTGGTTTTTTGATGTTTAACTGCAACCCAGCTTTTGCACTTTCTTCTTTCACCTCAGCTCCTCCTCACTTTCAGGCATCAAAGTGCTCTCATCTGCATACCTAAGGTTGTTACTGTTTCTTCCAGCAATTTTAAGTCCAGCCTTGGATTCATCAAGCCCTGCACATCATATGATTTGTTCTACATACAAGTTGAATAGGTTGGGTGAGAGAATACAGCCCTGATGTACATCTTTCCCAATCTTGAACCAGTTTGTTGTTCTGTGATCTGTTCTTACCGATGCTACGAGGAGACCCCAGTGGCGCAGTGGGTTAAACCCCTGTGCCGGCAGGACTGAAGACCGACAGGTTGCAGGTTCGAATCCAGGGAGAGCACGGGTGAGCTCCCTCTATAAGCTCCAGCTCCTCATATGGGGACATGAGAGAAGCCTCCCACAAGGATGATAAAAACATCAAATCATCCAGGCGTACCCTGGGCAACATCCTTGCAGACTGCCAATTCTCTCACACCAGAAATGACTTGCAGTTTCTCAAGTTACTCCTGACACGACAAAAAAACCCCCAAAAACTGATACTACTTGGTCGTTAAATAGATTCTTCAGACTAGTTGACTTGGTCTCCCCATAGCACCAAGAATTTGAGGTTTAATCCTATTTTAGTATTTGTAAGTCTGTCGCTTCCTCCATGTTTTCTCCCTCTATTTGCCAGTTATCAATCAGTCTAGTTGCCATAATTTTGGGTTTTTTTAAACTGCAACCCAACTTTTGCACTTTCTTTTTTCACCTTGGTTAGAAGGCTCCTCAACTTCTCCTTGCTTTCAGCCATCAAAGTGGTATCATCTGCATATCTAATAGTCAGGTGGATTTTAATTACTTGGGGCAGGTTCCTCATGGTTGAAATGTTTCTTAATGATTTACTTCTGCAAAATATTTTTATAACCTCTGACGCCACCAAGTTTCCAACTTGCAATGGATGCAAGTGCTTAGAATACAAAATACTTAACTTGCAATAAATACAAGTGCTTAGAATGCAAAATACATAACTAGTTTAAACAATGCAAAACTTTTAACATTCGTTCTAAAACCATATCATACCGCCCCTCTGTATCTGCGATTTTGTTTGTCCTTATCAGACAAAATATGTCTTTTTTAAGACCTCCAGTGTGATCCTATGATATGATTCTGCTAAAACTAATTCATTTTGGTCGAGTTCACTCTTATTTATAGTTTTGTATTTCCAGGAATATATTCCCCTTGTGGTTACACTATTTAACAACATTTGAAAATGTTTCTGTTCCTGGTTTGAAAGCGTTATTTCCTATTTAATTGTGCAGTGCTTACTTTGAAAGTTGTTTTTATACTCCAGAAACTTCACTTTTATGGCTGCAACAAACTAGTCATTGAAAAACTATAGCAAAATGTGCTGCATGATGTCCCACAGAACAATGTTTTTGAAGTTTAATAAAAAAAACATTTCTATTTTTTTAAAGATAGAACAAATTAGGAAATGGCATGTATAGGCCAGGATCAAAAATCATGTTACATAGTGGGTTGTTGTAGGTTTTTCGAGCTCTATGGCCATGTTCTAGAAGCATTCTCTCCTGACGTTTTGCCTGCATCTATGGCAGGCATCCTGAGATGTTGTGAGGGCCTCACAACCTCTGAGGGTGCCTGCCATAAATGCAGGCAAAACGTCAGGAGAGAATGCTTCTTGAACATGGCCTTATAACCTGAAAAACTTACAACAGCCCAGTGATTCCAGCCATGAAAGCCTTCGATAGTATATGTTAAATAGTGTTATGGGAGTCGTACCGCATTTTGAGATATGTATCGTATTTCCATGATTCTGAGATATCATCAAGTATAAGACACACTCTAATTTCCATACCAACAGAAGAATTAAAACCTTATTTATATTTTAAAAATCATCTGCAGTTCTAAGACACACGCCATTTTTGAAGCTGTTTGTATGGGGGGGGAAAGCTTTTCTTAGTATGGAAGAAAGAGTTATTTCTCAGTTCTTGTGGGTTTTTTCGGGCTATATGGCCATGTTCTAGAGGCATTTCTCCTGACGTTTCGCCTGCATCTATGGCAAGCTTCCTCAGAGGTCTTGCCATAGATGCAGGCGAAACGTCAGGAGAAATGCCTCTAGAACATGGCCATATAGCCCGAAAAAAACCCACAAGAACTGAGTGATTCCGGCCATGAAAGCCTTCGACAGAGTTATTTCTTTTAATCATGCTATTCAGCCTATGGCCACTAGAGGGCAATGTTTGCTCGCCTATAAATCGCTTATCAATCTAACCAAAGAAACCAAAGAAACTATTCTTTTGGGTCCTGGTCCTGGAAATAGTGGAGAATCAGCATCATGTGTTGTCGAAGGCTTTCATGGCCAGAATCACTGGGTTGCTGTGAGTTTTCTAGATTGTGTGGTCATGTTCCAGAAGCATTGTGTCCTGACATTTCGCCCACATCTGTGGCAGGCATCCTCAGAGGTTGAGGACACAGAGCAATGGCTTCAAATTGCAGGAAAAAGAGATTCCACCTGAATATTATCAAAAACTTTTTTCTTTTATTAAACATTGTTTTTTGTCATCTCATCCAATGACAGTGATGATAGTGTGTATTTCGAGAAAGTGCATAAAAGTGCATGAAGGGAGGTACAACTTAAACATTAGAAAGAACTTCCTGATAGCAAAAGCAATTCAAAAGTGCTTCAAATTGTCTTGACCAGTTCCTTCATAGAATCCTAGAGTTGGAAGAGACCTCATGGGCCATCCAGTCCATCCCCCTGCCAAGAAGCAGGAATACTGCATTCAAAGCACCCCCGACAGATGGCCATCTAGCCTCTGTTTAAAAACCTCCAAAGAAGGAGCCTCCACCACACTCCAGGGCAGAGAGTTCCACTGCTGAATAGCTCTCACAGTCAGGAAGTTCTTCCTCATGTTCAGATGGAATCTCCTTTCTTGTAGTTTGAAGCCATTGTTCCGTAGACATCTGGTCGTGTCGCTGGCATGGCTGCATGGGCACCTTTATTACCTTCCCACCGAAGTGGTACCTATTGATCCACTCTCATTTGCATGTTTTGGAACTGCAATGTTGCAGGAGCTAGGGCTAACAGCGGGAGCTCACACTACCCGCAGCTTCGAACTGCCAACCTTTAGGTCAGCAGATTCAACAGTTCAACTATTTAACCCGTTGCACCACCTTGGCCCCTATTTAGAAAAGTTGCCAGCGTGAGGAATATTTTATAAATTGTATACTTTATTTGTGAACTTCCCTTTCCATTTCTACTAGGACAACGGATACCTGCATATCCATACGCCAATCATTACCTCGAATGACTGCGAAGGCGCTGGGGAAGTCTTCCAAATCGAGGTAAGATCCTGGAGAACTGCATGCTTATTTTAAAAATAGCTTAAAAGTTATCAGCCTATCACAAGTTGATCACAAATCTGTATTGCAACACCCCAAAAGTAGTATTCAGTAACAAATTGCCTCTTGGTTGCATCTGCACTGCAGAATTGATGCAGTTTGGCACCACTTTGACTTCTTTGGCTCAATACTATTGAGTGCTGGGAGCTGTAGTTGGGTGAGGCCCTGACACTTTTTGAAACAGAAGGCTAAAGACCTTGAAAAACTACAACTCCCAGAATTCCATTGCATTGAGCAATGGCAATTAAAGTGGTACCAAACTGAATTAATTCTACAGTGTAGATGCACCCACAGTGGGTCTGCCTGGGTTCTAGATATTCTTTGCCACACAAAAAGGAGCTTGTCTAATCATCTCTCTGCCAGCAAGTGTTTGGGCCTATCACTGTGCTTATTAGGTTGCTGTGAGTTTTCCTGGCTGTATGGCCATGTTCCAGAAGCATTCTCTCCTGACCTTTCGCCCACATCTATGGCAGGCACCCTCAGAGGTTGGAAACTAGGCAAAAGGAGTTTATATATCTGTGGAATATTTATTTGGAACATTTATACCCTTCTTGACCTCCGTTGGCAACAATTCAATGCTGACACAATATAAAACACATAATAAAATACAGCAGAATACATACAAATAGTTATAAATATACATTAAACAGTTCACCAAGTTAAAAACGTCATCCAAATCAGTCCAAGTTGCGGTCAAATAAAATTTTATCTTCACCAGTAAAATCTCTTGAAATGCTTGATAGCATAGCCAGGATTCAAGGTTCTTCCGGAAGGCCAGGAGGGAAGGGGCAGATCTAACCTCCTTAGGGAGGGAGTTCCACAGCGGAGGGGCCACCACAGAGAAGGCCAGGTAATCCAGAAACACCTGCATTTAGCAGTATTTTTATGCCAGCAGTCCAAAGGACAACAGAAGCTTTTGGCCAGCCTAAGTTTCACAAGGAAGAAGATTAAGACAGTTTATAAGCAACAACTTGTAATCGCTTTGCATCAGAGGCAGAAGATTCTAGAAAGGGTGGGAGAAAGAACTCTTGTCTGCTGGAGGCAAGTGGGAACGTTGCAATTGGCCATGTTCATTGACATTCAATAGCCTTGCAGCTTGAAAGCTTGGTTGCTTCCTGCCTGGGGGAATCCTTTGTTGGGAGGTGTTAGCTAGCCCTGATTGTTTCCTGTTTTCTGAGTGTTGTTCTTTATTTACTATCCTGATGTTTGCTTATTATTTCTTCTCTTCCTTCCTTCCTTCCTTCCTTCCTTCCTTCCTTCCTTCCTTCCTTCCTTTCTTTGCTGTTTAGTGGTTTTAATTTAGGTAACTGCTGTTCTTCCGTCTGCTTCGTCTAGTTTATTGTATTGTAATGTGATTTCTATTATAACTTCACGCTTGCCATGAGACACCTCTGGGCACATCGTGCGGGGAGAAGGACCAGAAACGTTAATTAGTAAACGAGCGAAACAATGGCCCAACTCGCGCAAATTTATCCAATCCTCTTTTTTTAAACGTAGCATCTGTTGAGACATCTTTTGGCAGTGAACTCTATAATTAATCTTCCGCATTTTGCATGTTTTGAATCTCATTATCGACCAATTTCAGGCGTTGATTAAACCCTGTCTGTGACATCGCAGGAGGAAAAACCTTTTTCTCTCCCTATTTGCCATAACCCTTTTATCATATGCTTACCATCTTCGTTGCCATTCATTCGGAAACAAAAAGACACAGCAAGCAGTTGAGCTCTTCCTTTCTGGCCAATATTCAAACCACCGATTAACTCGTTCTATCTCACCAAAGACTTTTGAGCAAAATGCCTACTTTTATTTCAAGTCAAGTTGTCACATCTACACAATGGCAAACTGGTTTTTGAAACCTACGCAAGTTTCGGAATAGTTCGAATTGGAGGTCTGTCGCTATGGGCACCTTCCAAGTAGGCTTCGCTGCACACAATTTTTCATTATTTCCAAAACTGTTGACCCCCCTGGTCGCATTTTGTTGCAAGCCTCTGTTATGAATTGCAATGGCTTGATTCCGTTGGCAGCCCTTCGGCACAGTTCCGGACACAGATCCGGCAGTAAATACGGCCGTTTAGTCGCAAATGGTGCGTTCTGTTAGCCCTAAAGCCAAATGACTTCCGAGAGCTTAAAGGAGGGAGCGAAAACGCAGGCTGCCGTCAAAAGGAAGCCTTGTTACATCCCTTAAAGCGAAGAACAAAACAGGTATTGAGCCCGTTTGCTCTTTATATTCAAAGTTCAGCTGCAAGTACAAGCCTTTCGCCCCTGTATATTGAAGACGCTTTCATCCCCCAAATACAGAGCTTGGAAAAGTTTATTCTTTTGTGTATATATTATATTATATTATTAGCTTAGGTACCCGGTGATGCCTCAGTTAGGTACTTCATAAGGATAAACACGAGAAATAGTCATTGTTTGCTTTTGGGTTATTTTAAGCCTCCCTTGTGGTTCGAAAAAGAGGGTAATAATAATAATAATAATAATAATAATAATAATAATAATAATAATAGCAGCAGCATTGGGAAGTGTCTGATGTGTGATTCAATACAACAGCCAGCATAGTGACCTTGTTTTCTGTGTACTAATCTTGTTGTGTTAATAATAATAATAATAATAATAATAATAATAATAATAATAATAATCACCTGTCGGCTGCAAAAGGCTTCCCTACTTGGATCTGCACACATTTTTCGCTGATACATCACACAGTCCTAGACACTTGGGAAGTGTCCGAGGTGTGATCCAGTACAAAAGCCATCACAGTGTTCTTGTTTGCTGTGTATTCATCTTGTACATCAAATAATAATAATAATAATAATAATAATAATAATTAATAGATGCATTAGAAAATGCATACGGTTGTGGGTGAACTACACCTTCCATCATCCCAGGTCAATCCTCCCCAAACACATAATGGATATGTATGTTATATTGCTGATGGGCCTATAGCACCCAGTATTCTCAGGCGGTCTCCCATCCAAGTGCTAACCAGGCCTGACCCTGCTTAGCTTCTGAGATCAGATAAGATCAGGCGTGTTCAGGGTGGTGTGGCCATAGGCATATGTTATATTATATTTCAGCAATATAAGTATCATTGTTCACAGCTTCAAGTCATTTTTGGTGGTGGAAAAATGGGCTATAAATATTATTAATATTATTATTAGTTGTGTTTGGAGTTGCCATTTAAGCCAAATGCTCCAAATGCTCACAACATATAATTTTATTCTAGAGCTTTGTGGGACATTTTAGGAGGTGGTGACAAATTCTTACGTTTCTCAGTGCACTTCTGTTGATACCAGCACCAGTTAGTAAATTAATCAGGCCACATAAAAAGGGACCCTATCTTTATATCTGCCAAGTAACCAGCATCTACTAAGTTTACTTTCTATATATCGTCAGTTATCTCTAGCATGTAATTAAAAGGGTTTGCCTGTCTGTGAATTCTTTCTGTTTTGCTATGCAAATCCATGTGCTTACTGATAAAGCCACCAAACAAGATGAGTTATCTAATGAGACCCAAATAAAAAGTCCAGTAAAGTTGGGGACCCCGACTACCAACTACTTCAAGACTATCTGAACAAATATTTTAGATTTATTCCTTGCTTTAGAATAGACCAGTATGGCACAGTTGTGAAGTCTTGGCTCTGCCTTCTCCAGTCCTCCGCTTTAGTTCCCCCTGTTTTTAAGCGTTCCCAATAGTGTAGAGACCTTCCTTTGTCTTAGTTTTAGGGTGGAACTTAAAATCCCCCCAGAGACCAGTCTTAGTTGGTCTATTCCATTTCCCTGTATAGAGCTCTCTTGCTGGACTCCTCCCTTTTCTGCAGTCACTAGAGCAGTGTTTCTCACCTGGGGGTCGGGACCCCTGGAGGGGTCACAAGGGGGTGTCAGAGGGGTCGCTGAAGACCATCAGAAAACGCAGTATTTTCTTTTGGTCATGGGGTTTCTGTGTGGGAAGTTTGGCCCAGTTCTATTGGTGGGGTTCAGAATGCTCTTTGATTATAGGTGAACTATAAATCCCACCAACTGCAACTCCCAAATATCAAGACCTATTTGCCCCAAACTCCACCAGTGTTCACATTTGGGCATATTGAGTATTTGTGCCAAGTTTGGTCCAGATCCATCATTGTTTGAGTCCACAGTGCTCTCTGGATGTAGGTGAACTACAACTCCAAAACTCAAGGTCAATGCTCACCAAACCTTTACAGTTTTTTCTGTTGGTCATTGAAATTCTGAGTGCTAAGTTTGGTTCAGTTCCATTGTTGGTGGAGTTCAGAATTTTATTTGATTATAGGTGATCTATAAATCCCAGCAACTACAACTCCCAAATGACAAAATAACCCCCCCCCCCGAACCTCCACTAGTATTCAAACAAGGGTGTATCAGGTATTTGTGCCAAATTTGATTCAGTCAATGAAAATACACCAGATATTTACATTACAATTGATAACAGTGGCAAAATTACAGTTATGAAGTAGCAATGAAATAATTTTATGTTTGGGGGGTCACCACAACTTAAGGAACTGTATTAAGGGGTCGTGACATTAGGAAGGTTGAGAAACACTGCACTAGAGGCTTGGGGCATTGTCTGGTAATCCTAGGCCAATTTTATTCATTTATTTATTTAGAACATTTATACCCCGTCCTTCTTGACCTCCGAGGAGGGACTCAAGATGGCTTCGAACAGGCAACAATTCAATGCTGACACAATATAAAACACATAATAAAATACAGCAGAATACATAAAAATAGTTATAAATATACATTAAAACAGTTCACCAAGTTTAAAACATCGTCCAAATCAGTCCAAGTTGCGGTCAAATAAAATCTTGTCTTCACTAGTAAAATCAGCCTATTCTGCAAACGCTCGATTTCATAGCCAGGATTTAAGTTTCTTCCAGAAGGTCAGGAGGGAAGGGGCAGATCTAACCTCTTTAGGGAGGGAGTTCCACAGCCGAGGGGCCACCACGGAGAAGGCCAAGCAATCCAAAAACACCTGCATTTAGCAGTATTTTTATGCCAGCAGGCCAAAGGACAACAGAAGCTTTTGGCCAGCCTAAGTTTCACAAGGAAGAAGATTAAGACAGTTTATAAGCAACAGTTTGTAATCCATCGCTTTGCATCAGAGGCAGAATATTCCAGAAAGATGACTGCAACCAGCAAAATCTCCTTTTGTAATGTATTGTTTGAAGTTACCTTATGATAGTCCCGGGTGGAGTTAACCCTTTATTCATCTTGTTTCAGTAAACTCGTTTGACAATCTTTTCATCTTGCATAAGATGCCTCTGCCTGCTAAGGGGTTTAATCTTAAGAGAAGGTATACAGATAGCCCCCGAGTAAAGCCAGACAGTATAGTTTTCCCAAAGGCTCGGGTGTGCCATCACAGTAGTGGTTTGAGCACTGGACTACAGCTTTGGAGGATATGGTTTGATTCCCAGCTCAGGCATAGAAACCCACTGGATGACTTTGGGCAAATCACACACTCTCATTGTCAGCAACTCCCATGATCGGTTGTCTTATTTGGAGGCATCCATACCACTGGAATAATAACACACTCCAATATAAAGTTTTTTTGAAACATCTGCATGAAAGATATTATCTTGTCCCCTTTTTAAGTCTTGCCACATTTTATCTTGTCCCTTTTTGGTGGTAATGAAACCCAATATATATATATATTATTATTCTGTGTTCTGCTCTTCATATTCTTATGCTTTGTTGAAGAAATTTTGTAGACCTTTGAAATCTCCACCTGAGGCTATTGCAAAAAAAAAAAAGTTGTTGAAGACGATGCTTCTGGGTGTGTGTCTGTTTCTAATGACAATTGATGGCTTTTCTGCCTGGCCAGATGTTTTCGTGCTGCCTCGAAACCTTTGATTCCTTTCCAAGCTGACTTCCAGCTTTGCCTATAAATAGGCCCCGTGTCCCGTGCCTCTGAACTGCACCTGTGGACTTTCAAAGAGCCGTGTCTTTCTCATCAGGTGTTTGCAAAGGCTGCCTTCCCTTTCCCTTGGCTCCAAACTGTGTGTTTAAACGGAATTTAATTCCAGTTTGGATTCTCAGTATGGGAACGGTTCAAAAAGGAAATACTATTGTGGGCTGGCGGGGAGAGAGAACAAAGCCTATTATCCCATTCCTTTGTTGTGCAACTCCCCCTGGCTTTCAATCTTGCGTTTCTTTGGGGATTTATACAGACCTTGTACTTAGCGTATATACTCATGTATAAGTCAACCTCATATATAAATCAAGGGGAAATTTGGGGGAGGCAAGGGGGCAATATAGTGGATTTAAAATGATCGGCGGATTAGTCTGGAATCAAAGAAAAAGGAAGGAAGGAGAAAGAATGGAAGGGAAGGGAAGAAAAGGAGGGAGGGGAAAGAAAAGGCAAGAGGAAAGGTATGAGGTGAGGAAAGAAAGAGAAAGAATAGAAGTGAACGGAAGGGAAGAAAAGAAGGAAGGGGAAGGAAAGGGTGTGAGGGGAGGAAAGAGAGAAAGAATGGAAGAGAAGGGAAGAAAGGGAAAGAAGGAAGGGGAAGGAATAGGTATAAGGGGAGGAAAGAAAGAAAGAATGGAAGAGAAAGGAAGGAAGGAAAGAAAGGAAGGAAAAAAGGTATGAGGAGAGAAAGAAAGAATGGAAAGAGAAGGGAAGGAAGGAAGGAACGGGAAGAAAAAGGATGAGGGGAAGAAAGAAAGAATGGAAGAAAAAGGAAGGGAAGGAAGGAAGGGGAAGGAATAGGTATAAAGGGAGGAAAGAATGGAAGAGAAAAGAAGGAAGGAAAGAAGGAAGGGGAAAGAAAGGTATGAGGGGAGGAAAGAAAGAATGGAAGAGAAAGGAAGGGAAGGAAGGAAGAAAAGAAGGGGAAGGAAAGGTATGGGGGGAGGAAAGAAAGAATGGAAGAGAAAGGAGAAGGAAGGAAGGAAGGAAGGAAGGGGAAGGAAAAGGTATGAGGGGAGGAAAGAAAGAATGGAAGAGAAAGGAAGGGAAGAAAAGAAGGAAGAGGAAGGAAAAGGTATGAGGGGCGGAAAGAAACAAAGAACCGAAGAGATAGGATGGGAAGAAAAGGACAAAGGAAGGAAGAAAAGGAAAGGCGGGAGGAAAAGGACAAGGTATGAGAGAAGGAAAGAAAGAGAAAGAAGGAGGGAGAGAAGAAGAGAGGAAGGAGGGAAGGAGGGATGGAGGGAAGGAAGGAGGGAAAAGGAAGGAGGAAGGAAAAGGAAAGGAAGGAAGGAGGGAAGAAGGAAGGAAGGAAGGAAGGAAGGGAGGAAAGAAAGAAAGAAAGAAAGAGAAGGAAAGAAAGAAAGGAAGGAAGGAAGGAAGGAAGGAAGGAAGGAAGGAAGGAAGGAGAAAAAAATAGGGATAAAGTGTATGTGGGAAACTGAGGAATGAAAGAAAGAGCCACAAAGAGAGCCTGGAGAAGGGAGAAAGCAATGGGTCTCCGGCCTCTCCAACACCAGGCAATGATGGATATATGTGCTAATATCTTAATCAATGAAAAGTGGGGGGAAGGACTAGAATGTCTTTATAACATTTTAAAAGGGATAGCATATACTGCTTGCCCTGACACGACAAATAAATAAATATACAATACACATACCTAGAAATGTGGGTGCTTGGGAGGGCTTTATTGGGGATCACATTTTCCTGAATCCCCCAGACTGAGCTAAGAATTTTGAGAGCTGCAGATTTTTCTTCTTCTCTAAACTCTTGGATAATGAATGTGTAAACAGTCATGTCCTTATGTACAGTATATGTTACCAAGCATCATTCCCATATTTTAATGAATGTATTAATAATATCTTTATCCTGCCTAGTGAGCTCAAAGCAGTATATGTGGCCTTCCATCTCCCTGCTTTAGCCTTATAACAACCATCCTAAGAGGCAGGTCAGGATGGTCCATAGTCCCTCATTGAGTTTGATGGCTTGGTGAAGAGTTGCATCCAGATCTCTCCCTTTACTACGTTGATTTGCTTTGTATTCCATTCTTTCTCAGCCTTGAGCATAAAGCCTTAGACGCAACCAATGACTCTGAGTTTCCAGACCAAGTGAGGATTTGACTTAAGGGTTCATGGTCCTTGTTTATCCCTTCTGCATCTGCCTCTTGTGATTGGTTTAGTTCAAGTTTATACCAAAACTTTGGTTTTGTGTCAACCACAGAAAACCAGCCATGGAAACCCACTGGGTAACCTTGGACAAGTCACACTTTCTCAGCTTGAGAAGAAGGCAGTGGTAAAACTCTTGGATGCCAACAATCAGAATCAACTTGAAAACTCACAACAAAACCAGCTAAATCCATAATTCAATCTCTCTCTTTTTTTTACTCAACCTCCTGCAGTCTGCAAACGAAGACAAAGAACCTGAAGAAAACCCCCATTTCTTCAATATTCCTGCATTTCTCACAGTCTCTGGGCAACTCCACCTGGAAGTGATGGCGGGGTATGTATTGTCAAGAGTGTCCCAAAAGGAAAAATTAACAAACTCATGCTATATTTTTCTGTTATATTTTAATTTAGTACTTTCAGATATAGAAACATAGAATCCTAGAGTGGGAAGAGACCTCATGGGCCATCTAATCCAACCCCATTCTGCCAAGAAGCAGGAAAATCACATCCAAAGCACCCCCGACAGATGGCCATCCAACCTATGTTTAAAAGCCTCCAAAGAAGGAGCCTCCACCACACTCTGGGGCAGAGAGTTCCATTGCTGAACAGCTCTCACAGTCAGGAAGTTCTTCCTCATGTTCAGGTGGAATCTCCTTCCCTGTAGTTTGAAGTCATTGTTCCACATCCTAGTCTCCAAGGAAGGAGAAAACAAGCTTGCTGTCTCCTCCCTATGACTTCCCATTCCATCTTGATCTATTGCCCACATTGTGTCTCCTCTCAGCCTTCTCTTCTTCAGGCTAAACATGCCCAGCTCTTTAAGCCGCTCCTCAAGGCCTTGTTCTCCAGTCCCTTGATCATTTTAGTCGCCCTCCTTTAGACACATCCCAGCTTAGAGTCAACATCTCCCTTCAATGTGGTGCCCAGAATTGGACGCAGTATGGTTCCAGGTGTGGTCTGACCAAGGTTGAATAGAGGGGTAGCATGACTTCCCCGGATCTAGACACTAAACTCCTATTGATGCAGACCAAAATCCCATTGGCTTTTTTAGATGTCACATCACATTTTTGGCTCATGTTGTAACTTGTTGTCTGCGAGGACTCCAAGTTCTTTTTCACATATACAACATGTAGAGAATATTTTGTAAACTTTTGTAATGAATATTTTGAAAACAAAAGCTACAATTTCCCATTGTCCCTTGGTATGGACACTTTGTAGTGATACGAGTGTGTGTGTGTATGTATGTATGTGTGCATATATATATATATATATATATAGAGAGAGAGAGAGAGAGAGAGAGAGAGAGAGTCTCACTTATCCAACCTTCGCTCATCCAACGTTCTGTATTATCCAATGCAGTCTGCCTCCCGCCCAGATCCACAGCTGTTTCAATACTTTGCAATGTTTTGGTGCTAAATTTGTAAATACAATAATTACTGCATAATGTTACCGTGTATTGAATTGCTTTTTTCTGTGGAATTGTTGTAAAACATGATGTTTTGGTGCTTAATTTGTAAAATCATAGCGTAATTTGATGTTTAATAGACTTTTCCTTAATCCCTCCTTATTATCCAACATTTTCACTTATCCAATGTTCTGCCGGCCCGTTTATGTTGGATAAGCAAGACTCTACTGTATGTGTGTATGTGTGGATAGATAGAGAGAGAGAGCGCGAGGGAGAGAGAGAGACTGTGGGGAAGTTGGGACATTTACTGAAAATATTCATAGGATGGAGCCTATAGGTGGGGCTAGAACCCCAAATATAATGGTGAAATTCTGACAAGAAATGAGAGCAGAAAGGAAAAGGCCAGCTGGGATGGCCCAAATTTTCAAGGTAGTATCTATATCAGAAACAACTTGAAGGTACACAACAACAATACTGGCCTAAATGCCTAATGGCACCTGCTTCTTGAGGTTGGAACAGGTTCATCTGTGGTTGGTATTTGGATGGTAGACCATCAATGAACGTCAGGTGCCATCAGCTATATTTCAGAGGAAGGAACTGGTCAAACCAATCTGAAGCACTATTGAACAGCTTTCGCCATCAGGAAGTTCTTCCTAATGTTTAAGCGGTACCTCCCTTCATGCACTTTCATGCACTTTCTCCAAATACACACTATCATCACTGTCATTGGATGAGGTGACAAAAAACAATGTTTAATAAAAGAAAAAGGAAGTTTTTGATAGTATTCAGGTGGAATCTCTTTTCCTACAATTTGAAGCCATTGCTCTGTGCCCTAGTCACTGGAGCAGCAGAAGACAAGCTTGCCCCTCTTCAATGTGACATCCTACCAGATGTTTAAATATGTCTATCATGTTCCCTCTACAAGCTAAGCATACCTAGCTCCCTCAGCCTTTTCTTGTAGAGTTTAGCTTCCATATTTGAGTGTTTTGGTTTCCCTCCTCTGAACGTTTCACTTTGTCAATATTCTCCTTGAGTTGTGTTGCCTATCATTGGACATTGTCTTCCACGTGAGGTCTGACTAAAGCAGAATTGAGTGTGACTGTTGCTTTCCTCAAGGTCTAATGGCTTCAAGTGGTGGAGGATAGGTTTCAGTTGAACATTACAAGGAACATCTTGACAGTAAGAGCAGTTGGCCTATGGAAACAATTGCTTAGAGATCTGTGAGATCTCCTTCTTTGGAAGCCTTTAGAAAGAATTTGGGCAACAGCTTGTTGGGTAATCTGTACCTGAAGAACCTTCATTGTGCAAGAAGTTGGATCTGAAGGCCCATAAAATATAGAGTTGGACGAGGGCCATCCAGTCTAACCCCATTCCGCCATACATAAAAAACACAATCAAAGCACCCCCAACCTCTGTTTAAAAGCCTAGAATCATAGAATCAAAGAGTTGGAAGAGACCTCATGGGCCATCTAGTCCAACCCCCTGCCAAGAAGCAGGAATATTGCATTCAAATCACCCCTGACAGATGGCCATCCAGCCTCTGTTTAAAAGCTTCCAAAGAAGGAGCCTCCACCACACTCCGGGGCAGAGAGTTCCACTGCTGAACGGCTCTCACAGTCAGGAAGTTCTTCCTCATGTTCAGATGGAATCTCCTCTCTTGTAGCTTGAAGCCATTGTTCTGCGTCCTAGTCTCCAGGGAAGCAGAAAACAAGCTTGCTCCCTCCTCCCTGTGGCTTCCTCTCACATATTTATACATGGCTATCATATCTCCTCTCAGCCTTCTCTTCTTCAGGCTAAACATGCCCAGCTCCTTAAGCCGCTCCTCATAGGGCTTGCTCTCCAGACCCTTGATCATTTGAGTCGCCCTCCTCTGGACACATTCCAGCTTGTCAATATCTCTCTTGAATTGTGGTGCCCAGAATTGGACACAATATTCCAGGTGTGGTCTAACCAAAGCAGAATAGAGGGCTAGCATTACTTCCCTAGATCTAGACACTATGCTCCTATTGATGCAGGCCAAAATCCCATTGGCTTTTTTTGCTGCCACATCACATTGTTGGCTCATGTTTAACTTGTTGTCCACGAGGACTCCAAGATCTTTTTCACACGTACTGCTCTCGAGCCAGGCATCCCCCATTCTGTATCTTTGCATTTCGTTTTTTCCTGCCAAAGTGGAGTATCTTGCATTTGTCACTGTTAAACTTCATTTTGTTAGTTTTGGCCCATCTCTCTAATCTGTCAAGATCGTTTTGAATCCTGCTCCTGTCCTCTAGAAGGAGCTTCCACTGGACTCCGATGCAGAGAGTTCCACTGTTGAACAGTTCCTACAATCAGGAAATTCTTCCTAATGATCAGGTGGAATCTCCTTTCCCATGGCTCCATTGACTCCCAGTCTCTAAGGCATCAAAAACAATTATTTATTTATTGTTTTTTTTTATTTAGGACATTTATATCCCGCAGAGGGACTCAGGACGGCTAACAAAGTGGAACCCTATGGTGCCCACATCAAAACATAAATATACAATTGACAGCAATGTAATAATAACAACAATATAAAACAGTATAAAACTGTATAAACAATATAAAAACAATATAAAAACAGACAAATAGTCAGTGATCACCGATTTAAATCATTATCCAAGGGCAGTCCACCAGTTCTCAATAAGTCCCCACTCTATGATTTTATGATGGTCATGAAAATATGAAATGCCCAATACCAATGTATAGGTAAACCAAAATAGAATCTTTACTTCTTGAGACTTTAACCTCCTTTATACTGAAATCATGCATAAATATAAATCTGGAAAATGCAGCATTTCCTCTCCAAAATAATAATCATGAGGTCATTTGGCTTTGTGTTGTTCCCTCCCACAACAGCCTTGAAAGTAAACAGCCAGGCCTGTCCTTGTCCAGGACATAATGTGACTGCTTTGCGCTTTGTTCTTCAAAAACATGTTCCTTTTTATTTGTTTAAAGCACACATACACAAAACACCAGGCATTTTAAGTGGATCAAATGCAAACTAAGTTTAGACCAGCTATATTTATCCATGGAGAGAAATTCTTGTTCTCAGCGAGCCAAAGTGGAATTCGAAACTTTCAGCCTTCAAAAGGGCTTGATAACCAGATCTTAAACGGATTACCGAGAAACGACAGGAGCCGCTTCCAACAATGCGCCTTTAAAAATAATAATAATAATAATAAATCTGAGGTCTTTTTAAATTGTGTCTTTGAGTTGACATTGGCAGCCATTTTCTTTAGTTGCATAATTGGAGTTTTAAAGGTGTTTGAAGAACAATAAATGTGATGAAACCACTTCTTGCACCATAGGGCAATTCAAGCTAATTCAAAAAGGAGGACAGTTTGGAAGACAGCTAATTTGGATGATCTGGATTTTTCTTTTTTATTGCAGGCTCTATTACTGTGTTGTTATTATTATAGTATTCCTTAGTTATTGCGGGTGTTTCGTTCCAGTACCACCTGCGATAAGTAACATACCGCGAAGTAGAGATGCTCCCTCCCCCACAGAATCATAGAATCAAATCATAGAATCATAGAATCAAAGAGTTGGAAGAGACCTCATGGGCCATCCAGTCCAACCCCATTCTGCCAAGAAAAAGGAATATTTTGCTTTTTAAAAAAGTCGTTACAATGTGTTATATCATGGTTATCCACCTTGAGTCCCTATGGGGAGAAAGGCAGGATATAGAGATAATGATAATTTTTAAAATCCTTTATTCATTCCTATTACTAGGTGCCATGTTGAACGAGCAGCTCATTACATTGATTGTTGTGTTACTTTTGCATGATTTTTCTTTATGGGGTTGATAAGAAAGGGGCATTTACAAGCCAACAACAACAACAAGCCAAAATTCTTTCAAATTGCAGATTGTCATGGTATCTGATCACATCTAATAAACTATTTAAAAGGGG